AAAGATGGTTTTGAGCACACATTAACATGCCCTTTGTTCCAAAGTATCATTTTACAAAGATTGGCTCGGCGACCTAGTAGTAATTAGATAACGGAGAGACATATCTTTGTTATATATATTATTTTGACTAACTTGGTTAAGATAGTTTTTTATCTTTAGCTCACATAAGGTTGTACAAGTTTCCAACTATTACATACATATGTATATAAAATGCATGGTAACGGTTAACTACTATAATTGTATATGAAACACTGTTACTTATATTTGTAATTCTTATTAGACATTTATCTCATAAAATGCCTTATTCACTGACAAACTTCTAAGCATCTTCATATAGAGAGAGTTAATCTATTTGAACATATTCTTCTAGGCATTTTTATGTACAGATAGTTAATATATTTTAACATACACTTCTAAGCATATTTATATTCAGAGAGTTAATCTATTTTAACATTCTTGCAAATAAAGGTGGAAAACAATAAAATTTGAAAATATACCTTTTGGTAATAAATTCACAAATTTTGAAATTTCGTTCTTTAAATCAGAGTAGTAGGACTTTATCTGTGGTATCGATGATGAGATATTGTGTATTCCTTGTTTCAACTCTTCGTGGCGTTCATTCCAAGCCGAAAGAGAGGTGGTATCAATTTTTGTCTTAACTTGGGTGTACAAGGCATCAACTTTTAACTGGTTATCATTGATTTGTGTTTGTAGTTTTCCAATTTTGTTATCAAGGTTCGTCAATTTCATTTCTTTTAGAATTTCCTCATTATTAGTTTTGCATTCCTGCAAAGACTGGTTAAGAACCTCATTCTGAAGAGCCAGAACCTTGTAACGATCTCTTTGGACTTCCATTTTTAGGATCGAATAATCTTTATTCAGTGTCTTAAGTGTTTCGTAGTGATCATTTTGGTCCTCACGAATAATTTCAAAAGAAGATTGCAACTGACCAAGATTGAAATCAGACTTGGAAACTTCTTTTTGGAGATCATGGATGCTTTTGTCGAATCGACCTTCCATGGTTTCGAGAGCTTCGAAAAGTCTAAGTGAAGAGGAATGAAGCTTCTCTACAACCTCTATGGTCTGAGTGATGTTCTTAAGTTCTTTCTTAGTGGCCCGAATTTCCTGATGTAGGCTTTCACTTATACCATTATTTTCTTTCATTTGTCTATGCATATCAAACTGTTGTTTTTTAAAACTCGGAATTTGGTTCTCAAGAAGACTGGTAGTGCGTGAAAGGGCGTGAACATTAGAACTCATGGTTGTATAGTTTTTCTTCATCCAGTGAATATCCCGTTGAATTTTAGCTTGTTTCTTTTCAATTGCTTCCATGGTTTTCTGCATCATAGTTAACTCTTTTTTCACGTGTCTGTGGCGATGTGTTCGATGGAATATTCCTGTTAAGAAAACAAAATCTGTCACACAAAATGTAACTTAATTAATGGCAAATATCGAGATTATCCTCTTTTTGATTAAGGCATCAAAAATGTAGATTTTATAAATGATAATAAAGGAAACCCGACAACCCGAGCGCTTAGACCTCGAAAAACTTTCAAACGAGTTTTTTAAAGATTATTTCAAGACAAATTTTCATCGCTATTTAAATTCCTTTTCTTTTACTCTTACTCTTACTTTAATTAATTTTCTGTTTACATATCTAAATAACACCCAAATTGTACTTGATCGTTTGTTGTGTAATGCGAGAGAAATATATTCAGTTTTGTCAGTAAAAGTTTGAATGTTGCATCTTGAATTCGTTTTGGCATTGTAATGCCATGATATTGTATAATTTTTCCAACCTACTTGATTATAAAATAATAGGATAGTTATAATTGAATGGAGAACTTTCAAAGTAAATAGTCTTATGTATACGTTTGATTATTTTGTTTAAGTGTAAAGTTGCACAATGAGCTAGCTCAGCTTTACCTGTCGAACCCCCCGCATTTTAGCGTTATAAGCCCCGTGCTTACCTCTGAACCACTGGGGGGGGGGGTCTTTCTTTATAAATTGTTTTTGTAATTTTGCAATTTCCTTTGTATATATCTTATTACTAATACGGCAATTATCTGATGATATCAAAACATTTAATGTGCTTTTGTGGGATGAGGACCGGTTTGTAAAGGATGTTTTGATATTTCTGTTACTCCATAAAATATTCAATACCTCACAGTCAACTTTAGCAAAAAGAGAAGCGAATTTTAGCCAAATATTTATTTGGCACTACTCGTTTGGTTTTGAATATCCGATAATCAACAACCAGTTATTTAACTCGTATGCTTTACTGTATAAGATGGATATCAAATATTAAATGTTGAAAGAGAACAAGGAAAGTAAATAAGTATAACGAGTACCTTTGTTTTATGTGTACTGTTCTCAGAGCATTACCGGAACGATTCAAATCTTCACATATCTCACTTACCTGACTTATGGAAGCCACTGAAATGATGGTCTCTTTTGGTAGAACCATTATCTTCTGTAACACTTGCTGAGGTTCTTCTGGTCATTACTTCATTTGTGTTTTTTTCCTGAAATGTCAATTTTTTTTGCAACTGAGGGTATGACATAAAATGTATCAACTAATATAATATAATATTATCAACTAATATGTTTGAGGAATAATAACGTTAACACAAGATAAATGTTAATCAGTTTCAACGAATTTTATAAAGATAATATAATTTAGAAGTGAAGAATGTTTCAATATATTACAAACTCTTACACGGAGAAGTAAATTTCATAAATTGAACTGTGTGTGTATGCAAGTGTATTTGAATATACATAAAACATATATATATATATATGTATATATATATATGTTAACTGGTATTTGCTTCAACTCTAGCATTTGGCTAATCACTTTTGTAAGCCAACGCGATATTTCTGAGATATGTCAACTAGTATTTGCTTAATCTCTAGCCATTTGCTGACCATTTTTGGAAATGGGCGTATATAACATTTCAAGTGTATATATGGCTAGAAATATTATGGCTAGCTTACAAAAGTGGAACAGCAACTGTCGTACTATCAAAATGCTTATTCTAAACGCTTTATCTACGTTTTTTTTATATTATTATTTCTAAGTTAATTCATCGACATGTGACGGATAAAATACAAACCTATTCTAAAAGATGAAAAATAAAGAAAGAAAGAGAATAAAAAAAAAACACCGCGTGATATAAACTCGTACCTCGTGAGGGGAAATCCTTGAGACGGATCGTCTATTAGCCGCTTGAATCTCTTCTTCGTCTTTGAGGGAGGCGACCTGTAAAAGAAACGGCAGGTGGTCAGTGACAGCCACAAGAACTGAATTAGAGGAAGAACAAACACGGGCTCCAACGGGCATGCTCTAAGCTGCCGGTGCATGCAGTAGTTTCAGTTTACTTCTCGTTCCTTCCAGAAGAAAATTTGTTAAACTTTTGACCAATCTCTTAAAAATGGAAAGTACAATCGAGATTTAAAGAAATGCCTAAACAACAAACAAATACTCTCTGCTGTTTAATGGTTTAGTGCTTCTCCCAGAACAATTTATGTACGTTTTCTTTCTTATTTAGTATATTATGTAAATTATGTGTCTTTGTTACATAATCTAGTTAAATTTCTCATTTTCTATTACAGGATGATGTTAAAACAAATAAGAAATCTTTCCACACACATTTATATCTGATTTTTTTCGTACCACATCAATTTAGATCATAACCAGCAAGAATGAGACAGCCTTTTTTTAAATAATTTTATTTGAAATAAATTCATATATGAAATTGAATTATTAAGGAACTTTCGATAACAGGTAAATGTATAGGTGATTAAATTGAGATATATTAAGCAACTACTAATTTGGAAGTATTGGAAATATACTCGTATCAAATACTAAATTTTTTTGCGTCTCCAAAATGGCTAAAGCAGAGGAAACGAGTCGACAACGACAGCGATACGTGATTAGTTGTTCTTGTGTATGTGTGTATAATTTTGAAGTTCGAAATTAACTAAAAATGATTATTAAATTAACAGAAATCAGTTTGTATTACTTGATCTTTAACGTGAGGAGACAACTATTCTGTAAAATAAACCTGGTGCTTTTATTTTCACAATACTGTTAGCTTTATTAGAGAAAAGATGAGGATGGGAGGATCATTAAAAACAAATCTTGCCCATTGTAGCTTTACAAGTGACTTTGTAGCATCTGATATTACTACTGTTTCATCTTCACTTCTAAATGGAAGCTGATCATAATTAATCATTAAACTGAATCTGCATCACGTAAATTAAGTTTTTTTGTTTTTGGAATTTCGCGCAAAGCTACACGAGGGCTATCTGCGCTAGCCGTCCCTAATTTATCAGTGTAAGACTAGAGGGAAGGCAGCTAGTCATCACCACCCACCGCCAACTCTTGGGCTACTTTTTTACCAACGAATAGTGGGATTGACCGTCACATTATAACGCCCCCACGGCTGAAAGGGCGAGCATGTTTGGTGGGATGCGGATTCGAACCCGCGACGCTCAGATTGTGAGTCGAGCGCCTTATCCACCTGGCCATGCCGGGCCGTAAATTAAGTAGTTTTTGTCGCTACGGAAATTTTCTTCTTTATTTATTTATATTTTCCTGATGGACTGATACAAGACATTAATTTTTCACTGTAAGACCAGTTATTTAAACTGTAAATATTTATGCTGATCTCACAGATATGAATAGTACAAGTACAGCTACCTTTGAACGGCAAACAAACAAACCTTTCGCACAGTAAGATTTTTTTTTCTAGCATAAAGATGCGATTTTTAAGCAGACTGTTCAGAATTTCTACTTATTTAATACAATGCTAATGAACATGTTCATGACATTTACCAAAAGCTGCATTATGATTAACATTGGTAAAAACGCAGACTTTACCACATCTACTTTGGAAACATGAGACACAATGCAACATTGGACATGACACAGCCACGTTTTGCTTTATACACTATTCAACTGCTGTGCCAACTGCAGGGATTGAATCCCGAATTTAAGCGTTATAAGTTATTCACGATAAACGTAGCGGATCATCAAGGTGGCGTCGTTATTAAGAATGAAATGATGCCTTGAAATTTTTCACCCATTTATCTCTAATCACAAAAAATACCATGATACGAACAAGACCAGTGTCACTCTACTAAAATTTCAAGCTGAAATATGAAACCCAGACATTTGTCCCTGATAAGTACTTATGGATATTGTTTTATAAATATACTATATTATCTTCCAGGTTATTTGGTCATTGAGGAAAGGTATATTTTGTATTAGTACTACGATTATGTAACTTTTGTGCTGTAGAAAGATAGACAGACATAGATATATAGTATACTTGCATTTTTTCCGAAACCCAGAGAAGACAAATCTAGACTTTGTCGCTGACAAACCACTTAACGATACACGCCGATAAGTCTACTGCGCATGCGTTGCTTGAGACTACAATTTGATTGGAGAAGGTCTCCGAACAATACAAAGTTGACGCAGCCATCTGCTCTCCCTCCCTTCGATATAAACACGTCATTGTTCACACATATACTCCCCTCCCTCACCTCTGGTGTGGTGTTTCCCCGTCTTACTCTTGTTGTGTTACAGAAGAAATCTGAGAAGTATGCAAGTCGCCTGGTTTTTTTTCTTTTCTTCTTCTTCTTATTTTTTTACATTAAAAAGTAAAAAAAAAAAAAATCCCCAAACTTACTTTGATCTTGAAATCTGTCTTAAACACACGAGACTAGAGGTCGAGCTTACTATTATTGTGTTCTTAAAGAATCAGTGAAAATGCTTTAAAAATCAGTATATTTAATACATTTGAAGGAAGGAGTTATCGGTTAGTCACATGGATGGTTCTTAGAAATATTGCGTTCAGAAGTAACAGATTGCATTCTTGTCACGTAGAGACAATTCGATATGTACATATACAATTATTCTATTATGTATATTAAACACTTCATACTGAGGCCTTGACGCATCGCCAGTATATTAATTAAACCCAGATACGGATCGTGGACGGGACAATTAGTACATATTGATATAATTATAAGGATATTACATATTAGCCGTGCCTTTACAAACAGGATTCGTACACTCCTCTTCAGTAGCCCTCAACACAAGCTTAAAGTAAATGCATATTTAAGGTACACGGTCTTGGAGATACTTATCTTATTATAAAAACGTTTTCGCAACACGATGACCCAAATACAAAGCCAATTTTTGATTTCTGTATGCAACATACCCGTAATGATGTTTCCCACGGGTTATGTATATCCTTCTATAAACGACTTTTTTTTTTCCTTTCATTTGTGGCCTCGTTTTCAAAGATTAATTTTTTATCTCTCAAAACGATTACTTTCAAGCGTAAGTTCCAAACTTTTCGATGTTTTTAGGACTTTGGAAAGAAACAGAAAACAATCGAGAGAACTGCAGAGAAACCAAATGAACGTGTTTTTTTTTCGTTTTATAAATTAATAGTCAAAAATGTATAGTTGTTTTACTCAGTGATATAACTGGATTCTTTCAAACCCAAAACATCGAACAAGATATGTGAACGAAAGCTAATAGTACATGTATTTATCGGCGACAACTTACCTCATTGTATAAAACGTATAATTTAAAAGGTTCAAATACTTTGCCAAGGTAACATGTTCAGGTAAAACTTACGAAAACTCATGTTCGATTTAGAAACATTAAAGACAAAAATCGGCAAAAGTGAATAGCGCAACACCAAACAATTCAGATGCATACTTGTGACTAGCTCTAATTTAGCACGAACAGGCAACTTCTATGAAACACTTGTTACCATATATTACTTATAAATTTATTGCTATTATTCACATTATAGGGCAATAATCACATAGATTGCTGAATTTCAATTTGCCCTGAAAAAAAGTGAATTTGACACATCCTTGTGATGGCCGGCTTAAGGCCTATAGGCAAGTGCTTTTCTGTGGGGGCCCATTTCTTTAGAAGTTCTTTTTTTTAGCATTGAGATTTTACTATTAAAACAATTCTTTACTAAATCTAATTATTTGAGTGTGCTAGATTTCCTAATTTAAAAACTATCTGAGAAGGCTATTAAAAACAACATAATCACTGTGGACCCCTTAACACCGTGGGCTTGTATGTAACTGCCTACTCTAACTTCTCGTCATTTTTCTAAGTAACAGTTCAATATCGTTGTGAACTTTAATTGAATATTAGCTATCCAAGTGTAATTATTTGCACTTAACTCATCATCTCTTTACTTTTATAGAGAAGTGACAGTTAACCGTCGTTTTATGTTTTGGCTAAATCTTACCTGTCCCTGCCTAGTTACTCGCACTTAATTATTCATGTCCTTATTCTAATACAGAAGTAACAATTAACCATCGTTGTACGCTTTGACTGAGTCTGACCTGTCCTTGTCTAGCTACTCTCACTTAATTAATCATGTCTTTAATAGAGAAGTGACAGTTAACCATCTTTGTACACTTTGACTGAGTCTGACCTGTCCTTGTCTAGCTACTCTCACTTAATTAATCATGTCTTTAATAGGGAAGTGACAGTTAACCATCTTTGTACACTTTGGCTGAGTCTGACCTGTCCTTGTCTAGCTACTCTCACTTAATTAATCATGTCTTTAATAGGGAAGTGACAGTTAACCATCTTTGTACACTTTGGCTGAGTCTGACCTGTCCTTGTCTAGCTACTCTCACTTAATTAATCATGTCTTTAATAGGGAAGTGACAATTAACCATCGTTGTACACTTTGACTGAGTCTGACCTGTCCCTGTCTAAATACACGCACTTAAATCATCATGTCTTTAATAGAGAAGTGACCGTTAACCATCTTTGTACACTTTGATTGAGTCTGGCCTGTCCCTGTCGAACTACACGCACTTAAATCATTATGTCTTTAAGCTAACAGAGAAGTAAGAAAATATATTAACAAAAGCAGCAGCTATTCATAGCATCATTAGCAGGTATGCATCCTGCATTCTTCATATTTATACATATTATGATATAAGAATGATTTATTTCTATTTACGATAGGTAGAAAACAAAGTTGTGTACAGATACGTGAAAGTAAGTAACAAAGTGCAAACTACAATGTGAATTGTGGCTAGGTTCAAACAAGAACCTGAACTGTGGCTAGGTTCAAACAAGAACCTGAACTGTGACTAGGTGCAAACAAGAACCTGAACTGTGACTAGGTTCAAACAAGAACCTGAACTGTGACTAGGTTCAAACAAGAACCTGAACTGTGGCTAGGTTCAAACAAGAAC